CGCGAATGCATTCAGAAATTTCATTAATCTACATCAAAATCAATTGAATTGCACTTCAATAATCTCAAATGATGAAAAATTTCTGCAAACATTAAACGGTAAATAAATTCTTATATATCCATTGCTATTCATCTAATTCCGACAGTCTAAAATTGGAATGAACCAATTCTATCGATGGATCAAAATCGATATTTGTGGTTTTTGTGTGTTTACATCCAAATGAAGTCATGAAAGTTCATTAAAATTATAATTTAGAATTTTTCAGATCAACTTTTTCAGACTTAAAAGTCATTATCATGATGAATTTGCAGACATGGCACGATTTATGTGATATGAGTCGATAACTCATTTCAATTCCATGTCAAACTTAATCCATCAACTCGATTCATATCTTATGTCTTATGACTTGTGCATCTCATCGTCGTCAACATCCAGTTAAGTCTGCATAAATAGAGTAAAGCATTGCGATGCTTAATTTTGATAATTACGTCAATAAAACGTTATTCGGTGAGTTCTCTTGAGATTTGCTAGACCCACATTTTGATAGAATTCCATCATTTAATGTTGTAATGAATTGTTCTTACATTAAAGAAGTAGAATATGAATGACAAGTGATGAGATTGAGAGCAGCACAAGAAATAATTTGCATGTTCATTAAAATGATGAGACGATTTTGGAAGCGACAAACAAAGAAAATGACTTGCTGCTCTCTTTAAATGGTATTTTTATTGAAGTTCTACTGCTGCTGATGATGTAGCATGTACAACAGCATGTGTCGATAATTCGCATGGCACATTTTCCTGCTTTATTTTATTTTATAATGTACAATTCTATCCATTTCCAGTGATGATGTTGAGGAGAATTGGAGAAGAAGAATTGGAGAATTAAATTAAATTCCATAGTTCATGACAATAATAAACGTTTAGAAAGAAGAGAGACTCTGCATGCATGCACAGAAAGATATGAATAGATCTTGTTGGTTGAAAATAATTTATTCGTAAGTGAGGAGGATGAGGAGGAATAGAAGCAAATAAAACATGACATTTAACACTCATTCGTATACAAAAAGAATCAAAGTCATGTCAGCGCATGAGGCATCTCCGTAAAGCATATATTTAATGAAAATGGCATAAAACTTCTGAATTGGGTCATCAAATAAAATGAAATAAAACAACAATACACGACAACAAGATGATGATGATCATCATTATGCCTTAGTGACTGGATGATGAGGAGTTGATGTGAATGATTATAATTGTTGTGGATGGAAACAACAGGTTAATTCAATTCTTTTACTTCCGAAATCTTCCCATAAGTGATCTTTGTGCCTCACCTAATTCCTCTCTCTCTCTCATTTTTGGGATGAGTAGTCATGCTGATGATGGGAATGAGGTAGTGCATTAAAGCTTTTAGCTATGAAACTCAACCATTACCATTATTTGCTGATTTTGTGCCATTTCTGATTCTTCTTATTCCTCATTCTTCTCAAAAAAGTCAGCAGAAATTTAAATAAAACTTTTTTGCGGATCTTCCAGCGGCTTTTTCTGTTGCGATTCCAATTGTGCATACAAAAAAGATTGTTTTCAGCACTAAAAGACGTAATAGGTAACGCTTGGTATTATTTGCAATACAATCAGCACCGGATAAGTCACATTGAATCAAGAGCTCTTCAAGCTTCCATTTCATGATATTTCCTTCCTTCTTTCTTCGACTTAAACCATTTCTTATTGGAATTGCTTAATCGATTAATTTTGAGTCCATTAAAATGCGATTTTCTCAGCACTTCTTTCTCATCTCGCAACATTATTTACTTAAAAGTTACAGCAAGCATGAATGATGAAGAAGAAAAAGAAGTGATCAAGTCTGTTATGCAATTTTAAGATCCCAAGCGATAAATAACAGTTGATATTAATCACATACTTAATAATATGCTGCCGTGCACATCCATGCAACTTACAGTGCTTATTTTATCACTGAATTCACTTGACAAACTCCATCCCGAGCTTCTCATTCCTCTGATTTAAGATTTGCTCATTTTAGAGTTCGTGACATGCTCAGAAGGAATTGCACAGCAGGCAATCACAATGAAATTGCAAAAAAAATTCTCTGAAATCGAATATCAAGCACATTCGATAGAGACCAAAGAGGAAGGCAGAATTAAAAATTTAATCTCAGCGGATATTCTTAATGCTTCCATAAATTAATCAAAAGACCCACTTCTATCGATGACAATAAATTATTGCCAAAAAAAATTGCAGTCACAGAAAATAGAAAGTCCAGAAGTGGAAACTGTAAAGATCATCAAGTAAAATGGACATGTAGTAAGCAGTAAGTGTAAAATAAGGAGAAACATCATCACGACATTCGGTTCATTGCGTGAAATTCAGCAACAGTAGATGAAATTTTCTGGATGACAAAACAGCTGGAAATAATTTTACAATTAATTTAATCATTCTGCGCCTTCTCATCTCTTCTTGCTGCTTGCTTTTGTGCTACGATCAATTTCAACAATCAATCTTAATTTCTGTTGACAGCTTACCATATATCTATGCTTAACGCCTGTAAATGCCAATTTCTGTTCCTCACTAATTTTTACTTTAAAATGAGCTTTAATGCTGTGGCAAAAATAAGGCATGGAAAATATTTTTATTGGAATATAGGTCAGTCAGGCACCTGTGTGAAGAATTTAATCAACAAAATGATAATGAGAAGAAGAAGTTGAAGCGATGAACAGCCTGAACAGCCCATGAAATGCTTCAATGAATAGGATTGCATGTATCTACTCATGCTGCTGATCAATGAGATGTCTAGAGATAGCGATGAAGTTATGATAAGTGTTTTGTTGCTCAGCAAGTTATTTGTTATGATTGATGTGTGATTTATGTGGCAAAATTTAAGTTGATGACGACGCTATTTAGCGGTGCTTATAATTAAAATATCTGCACATGTACTAAGGCATTGAAAGATCCAGTTTTGATGCGAATTTAATTACTTCATCACTTCAAGCATGCAAAATTTGTTGTGACAAGCTAAGCAGTTATTTACTAAGCTGCTCATGCTTTGCTTATGATGACTATGGCTATGACTTTGGAGAATAACAGAGAGATGAGACGAAGGAGGAGATGAAAATGAACGGAATCGAAAATTAAAAATGTTCATCACTATCATGTTCTCAGCTGTAAAACGGATGTATTGGCGTAGCTGCTGCTGCAAACAATGGCTGCAAAATTTTCAATCGAAAATAGAATTACAGTTAAGAATTCTGACAGATTGACTAACTGACTTCACTTTAATGCGGATAGATTGACTGACTGACTGATTGTTCTGTATGTTACATTCCTTTCCTTTTTGAATGCCAATTTGTTTATTTATTTGCTGGAACTCCTCGATCGCCCATTCTTACGGATTAAATATTGTGAAAGATTCTTTCCAAATCATCAACAACGCAGGCAGTTATGGAAGTGATTTCAATTACATTCTCACACATGTGCTGATCGCAATTGAATGATCTTCAGCCTCGCACATAGTCAGGCATAACAGAAAGAATTATTCTTTCATTTAACAAAGTGCTCACGTGTAAATTATCTTCCTTAAATGGCTTTCATCTCCTCATAGACTTTACTTTGCAGATAATTCTGACCCATTTTCTGTCTATGTTTCTGTTCCTTTCTTCATTCATCGCAATTCATTATTTCACATAAAAATTCAACTTTTTTTTGACTGTTATGTGCGCGGCAAATATGAAAGCAAATTCTCATCTAAGTAAATATTTTAGTTTTTTTGGGCATGGATCATAATGACTAGATCGTGATTCTGATGAGCTATTTCTTATTATTATCCGCAAATGCTTTTTGGATGTTTTTTGAGAATAAATTTTTGAACTTTTAATGAGAAAATGATCGTTTTATTGTATTTAATTAAGTCACGGATCACTCAACTCAATTGTAAGTTGTAACTGATTCAAGTGCACATTATTGACTTGTTTAAGGTATGAGAAGTTCTTTTTTTGAGAAAAGGCAAAAGGTCATAATACATAAAAATGAATGAAATGGATGTGAAGCGAAGAAGTGAGAAAAGAAAAGGAAGCAAGAGTGATTGGCTGGATCTTACAATTAATTCTATCTCCCATGCCTTTCAATTTAAACAACAACACAAAAATTTACAGTTAATCGACATTTCAAAGCTCCATTCTGCACTATTTTGATGCTTTGGTGCTTCCATAAAAGAACTTTTGCTCAATTTAATTAAAGAAAATTTTCTCCACATTGCAGCATATCCATGCAGACTTTATTTATGTTCTTCTAATGATATGTTTTACATGAATCGACAATAAACAAGCATCAATGTCAAAATAACATCGTGTTAATGAATATTCAACTAATGAATGGTTAGTAAAACCTTTGCAAATAACAGCCATGGCTCTATATGATTTTTTACTGTTAGATTGTTGAACAAACTTTTTTTGTTTTCCGCCTTTATTTAACAGATTTTGCGTGTTTAAGGCAGATTAGGAATGCTTACTATCAATTTTCATAAGCCTTTGACCAAAGAGTTTATTGATCTTATCCTATAGCTGATGTTTGTGTATAACTTTGCAAAGCAAGTCAAAATTGATGAGAACATGAGAAGTTGGAGATTATCGAATTTCGGCTACTAATATCAGAGTCTTGTTTTGACTATATAGTTTCAGTTTGCAGATTTCAACTGCAAAAAATCTAGATCTGTGGTAGGCAATGTAAGTAATGTCAAATCTATGTTAACAGTCTCAGAACCAACTGATTTATGAAGACATTATTAAAGACTTCAACGACATAATTTTGGTTTCTTTGTCCGATTTTATTAACTAGAAAGTAAAAATTTCAACAATTTATTCAATTGAAATGCTAATTAAATGTCTACAAGCAATTCCCATTAATTTAATTGCTGAATTTGCATTCATTTTTGATAAGAAATTTTTTATATAAAGGCAACAAATATTTTTTTGGACAGTTCTAGTGCTTGCTTAATTTGCAAAAGAATCACTTTGAAATGCAAAACTTTTTGGTTTTAGTTCTTATTTTGAGCTTTTGGTCTGTTGAGTGTCAGAACTTTGATAGTTGTGATTATTATCAATTTCTTGAACCTGGAAGAGTTTATCAAGTCGGCTCATTAGGATTTAGATATGGAAGGCCTTCACCAATGTAAGAATTTAGTGCTGGATGTTGTTATGTTCAGATGGAAATTAAGAATTAGAAAGAACTCAGACTGGAAGTTCAGATTTAAATCCAGAAAGAAATTTAAGTTTCAGAGATCGATTCATTCACATCCAGTAATTTACAAATCCAATCTAAAATCGCCAATCTAAAATAACAGCACCAGCAAATGCCATACGAGCACTTTCATGACCATAAGCAAAAATTACAAGCTTTTTCTAGTTTACAATTAGCGAACATAATTCTATACTTTTTTAAAAAAAAAATCTTACAGCAACACAAATTGCCGATATGCAGCAGAAGCTCCATATGGATATAAAATTACAGCCTCATGCAGACTCGCCTATCTTCTTCCAGTAAGACTTTTTCATCCATAAATCATAGATTCAACACAATTCATTAAATAAATAAATTTAAAGGTTCCGAAATGCGAAAATTTTCTTAAAATTTCTCCAAGCGGTCGTACGGATTTGGCAGACGGTAAGACTTATTGTGGATGGTTGGGAGTGATTTCGGCAGCATCTCAAAGCAATCGAATGACGATTCAATATTTAACGGGAAACAGGCCAATGGGTAGCAGATTTTTGTGTTCAATGCATTTAGTTCCTGACAATTGCGAATGTGGAAAGCGAAATGTTGGTAGAATTGTCGGTGGGAATGAGGTTAGGATTAAGATAATTTCAAATTTAAATTCCGTATTAAGATATAACTATTTTTTTGTGTGCTAGACTCTAGTTAATGAATTTCCATTAATGGCTGCAATTGTTCAAAGCGGCGTTGGTGTTTGGTGTGGAGCTACAATCAGTAAGTTTGTAGACATAAATTAACAAATGTCAATTATCTGACCTCCTGCTATGTTCTGCAGTTTCTAACAAAGCTGCACTCACTGCTGCACATTGCTTTGATTCGAATACAAATTTTACAAGCATGCAACTCGTTGTTGGTGAACATAACATCACAGGAACGAGAGAGACACGATTCACAAGATCGTATGGCATACGAAATGTTACCATCCACGAGTCATACGATGGTACTATAATAAGTGAAAATGACATTGCTTTAGTTTTCACTAAGACAAATATTTTGTATGATTATGGTGTGTCGCCTTCCTGTTTGCCATTCAGGTGAGAAATTTAATGAAATAGGCACTGAGGTGTGAAATTATGAGAACTATCACGTGACAGTAGCTCAAGTCAATTATGATTTAATAGCCCTCCGGCAATTTAATTTGTCAAAATTTTCTTTCCTGTCTTTTGTATAGATTTGAGAATTATTCATTCTCTGGTGACAATGTTCTTGGAATTGGATGGGGAACAACAGAGTTTGGTAAGCTATTTTTGGACATGTATGTAAAAGTTTCTTTTTAATTTCTTCACAATTCACAGCTGGACCGAAATCAAATGTCTTAAGAAAAGTTCAGCTTGAAGCTGTTGATGAATTTATATGTTCAGGGAACTTACTATGCACAACAGCACAAGATAAAGATTTGTGTCAATACGATTCTGGTGGTCCAATTTTGTACCAAAATCCAAACAATAGCTTGTTGTACAATATTGGTGTAATAAGGTAAGTTCCAAGAATTATTCAAAGGCTCTACAAGATGAAGTGGATGCAAATGCAAAATAATCTCAGTCAATATTTAATTATTTGAGTATTTAACGGATTAAGAGAGTTATGGAGAGCTGAATTGAATGAGGTTCTTGAAAAATACTCGAAATGTTGTGTCTGTAAAGCTTTTGGAATTGCAATCTCATATCGTTGAATCTGATGAATGAGTTTAATCTCATGAAAATGTACGAATTCTTGTCATATTTACCAAAAACTAAAGAATAATTTAAAATTAAGTTATTGTTTATGAATCGAGGACTAATCAAGGGATCGTTCATAACTGATGTCTATTACTCGAATTCCAAAACCCCAAAAAGTTGTTTAACATCTTTGCCACAGATGTTATTACTCTGGCAGATTCGTTTGGATATAGCTCGATACCCCAGATTCCACATTTGCAACAAAAATACAAGTATGAAAGTTTAATCATTCCTGGTCATTTTAAACATGAATCCAACATGAATTAAAAATCAGGTTTCCATCCACGCAAAAAAATCTTGTGCCAATTCCAATCAAAAATCGCCATGAGGGTTGATAGAAATGCCTTTGATAAGCTGTTCTTCTGCATATAAAAATGTTTACCTTAAGACATAATCATCATAAATTAGCAAGTGTAAAGAGGAGTATTCATACTTTACGTGACGCCTCTATAAGATGAATATTAGATAGTAATTCATCGCTATTGCAGTCATAGGTCGACCTCATAAAAAAGTCAACAATAATTTTTAATGCTCATTAAGCACAGCTATAAGAAAGACATAAGATAAAAAGTCACATCCAATCCGTTATCATGAATATGTAGACCAGAAATAAATGTAAATCATTAAGATAATGATAAATTTTAAATATTTTCTTCTTTTTAGTTCCGGTGATGGATGTGGAACGTCACTATACAGCACAAATGTTAGAGTAACTGCATACATTGACTGGATTTTAGAGAAAACAATGCCAACTGTCTACTGCGTCAAATAAACTACTAACGTACATTAACACTATTTGATAATTGTAATTTCTTCTTCTTCAGTCGGTCGATGCAACAAACAAGCAGTCAATAAAAGTATAAATTTAAGCTATAAAAATGTGCTTTTGACTGAACAAAGAAGTGTTTATTGTCACAAAAAAAAACGTTTGAATTTTTTTATCAGACAAATTAAGCAATTAGCAACGAGTAATTAATAGCGAGTCCATAAAACCCTAAAAATTAAATTTATTAGCTAATGTTCCACAACCGCGACACATTGTTTAACATGGAGCATGTACATCATAACAAGATTATGATAAATTTATATTAGGCCCAATACATTTACTGTTAAATGGGATTTTCTCATTAATGCTGTATATGCTTTAGCATAAGCATGGGCATCATAATAAATTCATCATCGGTTATTGAGATGTTTCTTCGGAAATTGATGAGATTCTTTTTTTTGCCTGCTTTCTATTTATTCCTATTCCTACAATTCGAATTCAAAATTGATTTTCAATGCATAATGAAGCATTCTGGGTCACTAGGTATGTTTTTATTGTTTCTTCTCCTTTCTTTTAAGTACTTTTATGCACGCTCACCATCTTCGGAAGCTGCACATGATTTTCATGATTGAGGAAATACATTTCTAATGATGTGAATCAGAATTGTTGAATGCTCTGGATGACGATGATGATTTTTTTCTCAGAAAAATTGAGTATGTACTCGATGTTGTATCTATTTGGTCTATTTTATGGTAGGTAGGTAGTCGCATTATGCCGTGGTAATTCATTAATGAGTTCCTAGAATTGTATGATCTAAAAGATTAAGCTTGAAAAGAATTAAATTAAATTTTTTGCAATTTTTACTGGATGTGGCACAGATTTACATCGGTTGAATGAAAAAAATGTCGTTTTAACTTAGCTGGATGTGATCATATCCATTTAATGATGAAATATTGTGAATATGCGTTAAGTGTAAGTAAAGTGCAGCATAAGCTATACAACAATTCGTATGTATCATCGATATAAGTAGAAACAGACATCTTAAACATAAAACAGAGTATCCAATTCAACTTTCTCAAGTCACGATTGACTTAAATCCAGAAAAAAAAAGTGTGAAACACAAACAATCTCCGTATTGTTCTTAATAATATCTGCGTGTCGAATTCTCCAGCTACACAAGAAAAATTCCAATCGTCAACTCTGCTGTATGGAAAGTCAAGTACTGCGAAAAAGCAGCTCATAATGTGGGTCTCTTTGATTCCCATCATATTCATGAGTTCATTTCTTTTTAATAGAATGGCACAATCAACTAAAAACACAATAATAAGCATTAATGTGCCTTTGTACATATTTATGAATATATTTAAGTTCATTAATCAATTCTGATGGATGGGAAATGAGAGATTAATCTTTGAAAGAAATAAAAATAAACATTAGAAGAAAGAAATGCATTTGTTGGACGTTTAACACAGCTCATTAGTATTAAAGAATGCAATAGATAGAAGAGGGCAAATAAGTAAGCAACATTAAGTGCTAATGTTTCATCTTATGTACATATATCTAAGAAGAACACTATTAAATGCTTCATCTCATTCTGTTTGAATACCAAAATGATAAAAGTGCCGTGAAAAATGAGCATTAACATAAATTTTTATTATTATAAAAAAAAGCTTTCTTCCGTAATTCAATCTCGGGAATATATTCGTGATCATTTTATGTTACATTAACCTGCTGTTCTTTTATAATTCTCTCTTCATTATTATTTTTCACCATTACAGTTCATTCTTGCTTCTTATTTGTTTTAGATATTTACAATAACTTTAAATTACATTCCGAAAGCCACTGCAATGTATGTCATATGATGAATTTAATATTATATGCTTAATGTGATCAGACCAGATTGAAAACAAACAGAAAGCGGCGATTTTTGTTCAAATTGTGCCATTTTCTTGGTGCTGCATAGTTTATCAATTATTTGGCAAAGCTAGTGATATGTTGGAGGTCTATTAAATCAACATATCTTAAAGTAAGTCGGTTAAAGCAACTTCAACTGAATCTGCAACTCTACAATTGGATGTTCTAAACAGTTTTTAAGAATTCTAGAATTGAAGAATTATTACTGAATGCCATTGCAATTTCAGACATCCAATTACTGAATTCTTTGAATAACAGTCAAGCCTCACCAATACCCTCCATACATAAATCAAAATTAAACTGATTGCAATTCCTTTTGTTCATTTCATCAAAGTATTTATGGTTAAAAATCAATTCGAAGTTGATTGCTACACTTGCAATATTATCTCTGATACATATCGAGTGCAAAGTCTGAAAATCATTGACCATAAAAGTGTTAAGTCTTTCTCGCTTGTGTTTTTATGCAGCTTAGCACATTTTCTTATTATTTTAGCGGAAAAAAAACAAATATTTTTTACGAGCAATCGAATAACAAAATTTTTCTTTCACTTTCCGTGTATAATGGAAGTAAAGTTATAAGTTAAATTGAGAATAAAACTATAGTATCATTAATCTCGTATCTATTTCATTTCTCCGTATCCAAAGGGGGCATTTCTATAATAACATTTTTTATTATCTTCCTCTTAGTTTTGTTTCTTTTAATAATATGAGTATTATTAACAATGTTCATTGATCATTTATCTAACCCTGACACAGATTATTAGTGTTACAATAGCTTGACGCCACTCTTAGTTCCTCTAAAATATCTATCACGTGAATTGATGGTTAATAATGAAAATAGCAAACTAGTTTCTGTGGTATTTAATACATTTCATTTTAATCATATTCTCTTTTGCCGTTTAGTTGCTTTTAAATAGCTGTTATTAATGCTTTACTTCTTGTACAAATTAAATTCTTAAATATATTCTGTTATACATCGGATATCGTTGATTGAAATGACAAAGCTATAAATAAATTTAAATTGCAGATTGAGATATCAGATTGATATATTGAGACTTAATGTTCTTTTTGTGTAAAAGATTTGCAGATAAGACGGAGATGAATGAAGTGCTATAAACGACGGATATTTGATAATCTAATGCTTTGAAAAAGCTATAAAAAATGACACAATGGACAAGAATCTTAAATTTCATCAAAGATGTTTGGAAAGTTCTTTGTTTTTGAGATCAAGTGACACAAAAGAATGACAAATTAACAATTATGTCTTTCTCATGGAGCCAGGTATACCCAAAATTATCTTTATTTGAGATGTAATCAATTAAGTATAGAGCTTTGGAATCGATTAAGGAAAACTCGATGTTTGCTGTGGGGTCGTTCACTTATGACGTCCAACATTTAGGGGGGGGGGGGGTCTGAAGCTGTGTGACACCTCAATACAAAAGATTTTTTTTGTATGAAAATTTTGTGACAGAGGGGGGGTGAGAGGGGGGTCTAAAAATCTCATTTTTTGATGGACGTCATAAGTGAACGGCCCTTGTGATAAATTCTGAAAAAGGGGTAAACAACTGTGTCAACACAAATTATAATTCAAATTAGAAATGACCGTTATAATTAATAACATAGCCAAAAAGCTAGGCAAAGCAAACTTTTCATCGATTGACTATTATTGATGGATCCAATGCCCACATTTGAAGATGACTGCAATCAGTTTCTATAAAAATTCAGCTTGGGATTCTCAACTACAAATTAAAAAGCACAAAAATAATATTTAACCCATTTTCGACACAAAAATGCAGACACAGAAACTGTGCGACTATACAAACTATCACTTAACTCTGAAATTTATGAAAAATTTATCAGTTATATCACTCAATAATAACCATTCATTTTATACCTCGTTATTTCCCAACTTAACATTATTCCAGCTCAAAGTTGTTTCAGATTTATTTAGATAAACAAGAGCATAAACGAGTACAATGTGATCCATATCTATTACTATCTATTTTTCATTTCATTTTATTATTAAAGAAAAATTTTCACCTGCAGAGTAAGTGAAGCTACTTCTGCCATAACGGGTGAATTGAGACGAATTGTTTCTAGCATTTTTTTTATTATATTCATAGGGGCCATTCACTTATTACGTAACGCTTTTAGGGGGGGAGGGGGGTCTAAGATTTTGTTACGGTTCAAACAAGGAATTTTTTTTTCATACAAATTTTGTTACGAGGGGGGGGGGTCTAAAAAGTCATTTTTTCGCGTTACGTAATAAGTGAACAGCCCCATATTCTTATTGTATGAAAGCATTTATTAGTGTCTTTTACAATGAAAAAGAGCAATGCTTGAAATAATAAACTTGTTAAAAAAATAACACTTATGGATAACTTGAACGCATTTTTGTAAGTGTTCTTGAAGCTAGAATTGTTGCAAATGTAAGTATAGTAAGGGGCAGTTACTTGGGCTCATTAGGGGAATACCTGACATGACCATGTTTAAAGCTTGCACTTGTAAAATCACCTTCTAAGAGTTTTAAGTCCATATAACAAATAGTCTTTAAAACTTAATCTTCAATTTTATTTCAGTGTCTTGAATGTCCTCAAAAAATCAATTCAAAAGTTCACACAATCCTAACCTAAATCTACAAATTCTCAAAACTGAAAATCCAATAGCAACCTCTTAAAAATCATCTAAGCATATAAAAGGTAAAAGATATTCGCATAGCAAACTCTTGACATCTAAATTTAGAGTCGTCGATGAAGAATAGCTGATTGTTACCACCAAAGAAGACAAAATGAATCGCATAAAGAGATTTACGTCCAAATCCAAATCGCGCGAAAATGTCTGATAATTGATGCGTTCTATGTAAATTTCTCTATCTCTCACTTTTATGTATAGCTACGGTTACATGTTATATAGTTATTTGTGTCTTATTTTAGCGGTCGTTTTTTTATATGGAAATTGGGTTAGTAAACAATCACACAGAGCTGTTTAGATAAATTTCAATTCCGATTTGCTTATGCTTAGTGCTGTATAAGTGAAACGAAGAGAAAGAAGAAATAATTGTATGAGAAATTGATGAGCACAACTTGAGCTTGTTAGGATGATTTTGTTTAAGATCACGAATGAAAATCTGTTGACGCACGACTTGAAGTAATCAAAGAATGACAAGTGACACCGAATTAGGTAAGTTGTACGTGCGAGTAATTACAAACCAGCTGTGATAATTCGATCATGTTAATGATGTGGAATTGATTTCAATATTTTGATCGAGAGCTATTGATCTGAGCATGAAATGCGGTCTAATAAAATTATGCTTACAAAATTTTTCTTTTATCGATTTTCTACAGCATATGTGAACTAGATTTTAAAGCATCAATCTTCCGCAACAATTCGATCATGCATGGACACTTAAAATTGCTGGTTTTTTGACACATTCGGAGATTAAGCTTAAATTCTCTTGGAATTTTGATGATTCAGAGCTGCAAATTCTTGTCTATAAATCAGTGATGGACTACGTTTGTGTCGTGGC